TTACTGACAGTATGATACATTTCACATATATAAAGGGTAAAAACCAGTGGTGGGTTGCTAATTTTTACTACTGGTTCGCTCATGAGCACTTGCCTGCTTGTGCTTGCACACAATGTTTCTGCGCGTGTGCAAAAGCATCCAGGCAGGTGGGCGGAGCCTCCTACCACCACTACTACCGGTTTGCCAGATCAGGGTCTAACCAGAAGCAACCCACTTCTGGTAAAAACAATTAAAGGGAAATTGTGTTTACAAAAGGCCAGTTTGTTGTCTGATTGAATATTCTGAAAAGCCAGAATGTCTTGAAGAAATACTTCTGAACTCAGTGTCCATCATGGACAGCTAGAAACCAAAGGAATGGCTTCAGATTTCTTTCAAATCTGAGATAGCCTACGTTACTTAGAATACTGAAGAGATTCACTGAGCTCAGTGCTGAATCAGAAGCAAACATTGTCGTAAGATCTGCTGTGAGACAGATGGACTGCTCTGTTATTAAATATCTAGAAATGCAAAACAGCTCCTCCGTGAATTAATTGCTGTCAGGAAGGAAATTAAGCAGGTCTGTTTCTCCCCCGGCTCTCCAGTAGAAATAAGAAGCAATCTTGCTTAGACTGGGAACTTGTTCACTTACTCAATATATCGGTATATGCAATTGCCTATATCTGTGATTCTCAACCTGTGGCCAAAGAGCCCTGGGCCTGGCTGTGTGTGACATGCTGTGATCAAAGGAGGTGCATGAAGGCTTGAAGAAATATTATGATTTAAATCTTGAGTTAAGTCTTGGGGGTCCATGCTCATGGTCTGTACCCCCATTTGTTAAATAAATAAAAGATATTTAAATTTAAAGGGGATCTATGGTGAAGAAAAGGTTGAGAACCACTGGCTATATCAATATGAAATCAAGATTTCCATTTTAGTTAACAATTACTTAAACCTTTTGTGTTTTAATAGTAACTTTATTAAAATTACAATTACAATAACAGCAATGAGTGGTAATTTAATTTTTAATATAAATTAAACATAGAAGAAAATAGAAGAATAGAAACAGAATAGAAAATCAGAAGAAAAAAATAAGCATATGATAAAGAAACAGCAGAGAAACATATAAAGAAATTACTTTCTTCTTCACAAGTACAAACAATTTTAGTAACTATAGCAATAGCAATAGCAATAGCAGTTAGACTTATATACCGCTTCATAGGGCTTTCAGCCCTCTCTAAGCGGTTTACAGAGTCAGTATATTGCCCAACAACAATCCGGGTCCTCATTTTACCCACCTCGGAAGGATGGAAGGCTGAGTCAACCCTGAGCCGGTGAGATTTGAATGCAGTGCTGCATTTAACCACTGTGCCACCTCGGCTCTAACTAATCACCGTCTTTTAAAAACGGTCAACAAATGGTCTCTTCTTCCCATATCCCATCTATAAACAAATAGTCTTTTCATTTCAGTCATGGTACAGCAAAAGTCCATTAAGGATTTGTGCACTTAGTATATTACCCAGTATGGGTAATGAAATGTCTGCAGCAAAACAACCAAGATCAGAGAGCACCAAAGACCTCTTGGTCCAGTCCTGAGCTACAAATACTCTCCTTTATCGGAGTCCATTAAGGGTTACTAGCAATAACACCACATTTATTTTAACTTAGTTAGATTGAATATACAAACTTTAGATTCCTCCCTTTTACTTTTTCCAGTCTTGTCTTTTAGTTCCTTCAAATAATGTTCTAGAATTCAATTACTTTTTTTTCTTAAAATTTTCTTTTCCTAATCCTTTTCATTCTTCAAAGCTTTAACAACTCTCTTGTATAAGAGCTATCTTCTGTCACCATTTGTTTTCCATAAATTTCAATGATTACTTAAATATCTTTTAAAAAGTGCCTTTTACTTTGAGGAGCAGGACCATGTAGCCAAAATGCTTGATGCTTGTTTGCTACTATTTGCTTCATTCATGTGAAGCCAAAGTCTTTAGCTTAGTGAATGAACTAGCTGTTAAAATGCATACTTACAGTTCTGAATTTTCTCTGCTTTTGCAGAGAATGGGTGCCTGAAGTTGTGTGAGATCAGGGCATCCAGAAGCTTCCATTCTGTGCATGAAAAGTGTTTGCACACCAACAGGAGGCTTGAAGCTTGATTTTGCTGTCCCAAAGCCTCCCGTCAGCGTGCAAATACTTTTCGGCACCAAGACTGGAAATTTTGGAGGAGACTCACAGGCTGCCTGCCACTTTTGGGGTCTTGCTGTCCTTCTGCTCTCACCATTCCACTTTTGGGTGCCAGGCACAGGCAAAGACACCGCAGCAGAGAGACTGTAGAGGAGACATCTTTGCAAGGTAAGTGATGGGAATAGGCAAGGAAAAGTGTCTCTGCGGTCATTCGTAAGAGTGAACGAGTGCCGTAGTGCTACAACATGTGTAACCTTGGGACTGTGTCGTAAGTACTTGGGGGGAGTTATGTTGCAACTTCAAATGCTTGCTAAGTGAACTGTCGTAACTCGGGGATTACCTGTAGGTTTTTTTGTCCATCTCATTTTGTTGCTCACAGAGAACCAATTTAAATAAAACCTTCTTCATCATATAAAATAAATGTCACATTGTGTGATAAAAATGTTTTTGTTTAATTAGAAGAAAATGATCAGGCACAATATCAAAAAGTGGCTTATGTAAGAGTTCAGCAATCTCTGGCAATTTAATCAAGCAAAATAGTTAATATAAAATATGTTGCTTAAGATTACAATAGTGTTTATATTTTTCCTTTTCTCAAAGAGCTCAAAGTGAAAGTTCTCATGGCACAATCTGTCTAATATCCCCACAACCAGGGGATAGAATAACTAACCAAAGTCACGCAGTAGGGATTTGAAGTTGATCTCCTTAGTCTAAATCCAGGACTGTAATCCTTACGCTATAAAACTTCCATATATACTATATGTCCAAAAACCAACAGTTCCAGATCTGTTTTCTCCTAAATGTGAATAGTTGTAATCTCATTTAACTTTGAAGCAAGATAATAACCTGTAAGCAAACGTCAAATATTACCAGCTGGAGAAGTACATGAACAATCCTGAATATCATCAATATAAATAGAGTGTTGTTAAAACAAGCAAGCCAGTTATGATTCCTATTATCTGCCAGTTTTGCTATTTCTGCACGCAGAGAGTCAATAGGTTAGGAGTGGATGATAGGGATGATGATGATGATTTGTTTTAACACAGCAATGTTGTTGATAGTTGAGATAAGCTCATTAAACTGTTTTGATTAGAAGGTGCTGAAGTCTTCCCAATTGAGTGCTGGATCAGGGCCAGTGCAATTAAATAACTTGCCTGAGCTCATAAGGTATTGAGCAAAAGAAAATTAAATCCTTATTGCCAGCTCTTGTCTAGTAATTTCACTATGAATGCATCCTTCAATTAGAGTTAAGTGGCAACATAAATGCTTGGAATGTAAGCAATGGGGAGGTGATTATAACAATAGCTAGTCCTGCCTCCTCCCCGCACACAAAGGTGAAGGCTTTTGACCACACTCAATCTGTTCTGCTTGATTTGCACATATTTTCCCCAAAAGGATAATATCCCATCCCTTTAGAAAGCATTCCAAACAGCACTTCGGAGAGCTCAGTGCAGTATATCTCTTGCCATGTAGGCTTTATTGGTCTTTGCCTGGCACAAGGTCCATCAAAGGAAGGATTTTGCAGAGTGAAACATGGCATGCTGTGCACAGTGGCATTGCTTGATATTTCAATCTCTCCCTCTTTTCAGTATTGCTGGGGAAGAGGGAAAGGGCTAAGAAATGTTTGAAACTTCAGGGGAGAAACTGCTATTAATGAATGATTCTCTATTGGGCTATATTCCAGCTGGCTGGAACGGCTTTGGACATGTATTCACATTTTAACAACAGTTGATGAATAACTAGTGAAGAAAGAGGTTTATGTCTCACTGGTAGGCAAGAACTTCAAACAAATAAAATATCCCATGTATGTGTGTGTATGTACAGTATGTATATATATCCATGTAGAACATATATTTGGATTTTTTGAGTTATATGTGAAGTAGGTGAATGGATCAGTTCGCTGTTGAGTTCTCAGGAGCTTCATGCTATCATGTTATGTGAGCACTAGTCATATATGGCAAATACCTGAATACACAGACAGGAGGAGACACACACACACACTGTATTTTTCAGAGTATAAGACGCATCAGGGTGAAAATCTGGGTGCATCTTATACTCCGAATATAGCTGCCTGGGTCATCTGAAAAAGGGGCAGGTGAAGCTGGCGCTGCAGAGATTGTGATGGCTGGAAAGGAGAGAGGTTTCGCTTTTGGGACTCCCTCTCAGCTTGGCTCCAAGGAGGGTCTAGGGGGTGGCGGCGGTGGCAATGGCTCCTCACATTGCTGGGGAATGAAGTAATTGTGACCATTGTCTCCACTGAGCTGCCTGCCGAATCTCTGAGGCACCTTTCGCTTGCAGGAGGAGGAGAGCGAGGGCGGAGTATACCAAAGCCTCTGAGTAACTGGGAAAGAAATCCGCCCATGGAATCTGCCAAAAACTGCCGCCCGAGAAGCACGCTTTTCTTTCCCAGTTACTCAGAGGCTTTGTTTTAAGGAAGTGCCACTTTAAGTCACCCTGCTCTTCCTCCTGAAGATGAAAGGTGCCTCAGAGATGGTAGATTTCTCAGAACACTAGATTGGGAAGTTAAAAACCTGAAATGGGGTACAATCAAGCTTGATTCAAACGCGTTGGCTCCTGAGATTACTGCGTTACCAACCCAAACGCTGGTACCATGATCTCTACAGCACCCGCTTTTCCTGCCCCTTCTCGGGTAGTTCCAGGTGCCGTATTCTTTGAGCCTGGCATCTGCCTCATTCTGAAGTTTCCTTTCCATCCCGCTCTTTCCAGCCGGACTCTTCCCTCTCACTCTTCATCTTGATGACGTCACTGCAGCTGCCAGGCGTGGTCTGACGAAGGTAGCTGGAGCCACGCTGAGGCAGCCCGAACGGGCGAAAGAGCGAGCGATGGAGGATCATGCAGCAGAGGAGGAAGGTGAGGCCGAGATCCAGGAGCTGCATGGGCCCAAGCACTGGTTCAGCCAGTGGAAATGGCAGTGGCTGGCCGCCCAGATGACTGCAGTGGCCTAGGCTGTGGTGGGGGCAGGTCTCTGCCACCCAAACTGCAGGATGACAATGAAGCAGCCACCACCGTGTTGCCACCCCGCACCCAGAGCCCAAGCAGCAGAAGCTCTGGCACTTCTTCCAGAACTCAGTCACCGCCGTGGTGCAGTTTTACAAGGGTGAGCCAAGAGCCCCAGCCACACGTGTGGAAGCCCTGACATGTGTTGATGCTGGATGGGAGACCCCCCCTGGAGTTCCACCTACCCCCAGGGTACAGGCACTCTCGACTTCCATCCACCACAACTCCCCTTGAGGTTTTCGCACTTGCCACCACAAGAAAAACCTTTCAGCTCTGGCCAGTGTGAGCCCCCAGGTGGCAGGGCACCGAGGCCCCTTTGCCTCATTTTGCAACTCAGATGAAGCGGCAGCAGGGACCTCATTCCCAGATGGGCTCCAGCTGGCTTGCCACCACTGCTGCCCCCTCATGTTTACTGGTGGCTACATGGCCCTGCACTGTAAGTGAGCCCGGGATCCTCGCGAAGGCCGCAAAAGATCAGCAGACTTGCTTATAGCACAGTGCCATGGCAGGCCGCTCCAGCTGGCCTGCCGCCACTCCCCGCCCCGTGTGGTTAGTTGCAGCTTACTTTTCAGAGGGAGGCAGCAATAGCAGAAGGGAAGGCAAGTGAGGATCCGATCAGCTAGTGAGCAATGACACGAGAGCCAAAAAGGAAACAAAGGTAAGTGGCCATCTGCACTGCGGTTTAAATCGGGCTCATAGAGGCTGGGCGATTGGTGAGCCAGCCAATCAGTGAGCGGCGGGTGGGGCAAGCGGGCAGGGAGAGCAAGTGAGCAGGTGGGGGGAGCGAGTGAGGAGGGGCTGGCAGGATGGAGCATTCCAGTACTGTGCCACTAGACAAATGGGTTCCGAAAAGTATGCTAAATTTCAAGTTTCTTGAAAATTATAATTAAATCTCAGCTTCAGTTGGAGTGAATCATTAAGGCAGAATCTCTTTGAAATTTCTTCTTTCTGTGTGTTTCATATCTGGCCCAAGTTTTCACTTCTTAGATAATCACACTTGGGCCTCTCCGTCAATTCCTCACATGCTTAGAATTTAACTAATATAACTACATGCCGGCTTGGCATTATAGATGACAAAGTGCAGCCTATCTGGAACAAGCCTGGCAAGGGTTGAGAAAGGATGTTGGTATATATTATTATGCTCACTGCAGTATTACTGTTACTGTTTTAATTATTCTTTTCTATGCATTTATGTATTTCTGGATCATGCTGGCAAATAATTTCATCTTTTAATTATCTTGGTTTTCAAAAATTGTTATAAACCTATTAATGTTATGCCCATTATCAAGTTAAACAGTTAAGTGAGTTAACAGTTTAATTTCATAATGGTGCCTATGAAGGGACTACATGATGGACTATAAAGAAGCAGCAGATTCCAAGAGGGGATCAGACATCACAGCTAGATAAAAGACAGAGGAAGAGAGATAGGATAGCCACTCCCTAGAATCCTTTAGGACCGTGATGGTGAACCTATGGCACATGTGCCACCTGTTTGCCATATTTAGTGGCATCAGTTCTGGCGTGCATGCATGTGCTGGCCAGCTGATTTTTTGCCCTTCCAGAGGACCAGGGGAGGCCATTTTTGCCCACCCCAGGCGTCAGGAAAGCCTTCAGAGTTTAGGGAGGGTGAAAAGTGGCCCCAATGGGCCAACTGGAAGTTAGTTCCCGAACTTCTGGTTGGCTTGTTTGGGCCGTTTTTTGCCTCTCCATGCTTTAGGAAAGCCTCCGGAGGCTGGGGAGGGGTTGCACATGTATGCACAGGGGGGGGGTCGCGTGTGTAGGCACAGGTAGGTGGGGAGATTGAGTGAGCATGCATGCATGTAGCAACTTTGGCATGCTGTAAGAAAAAGGTTCACCACCATTGCTTTAGGATATATTTTAGGATAAATCCTTTACAGCAGCCTTTTTCAATTCTTTGAGCTTAGAAGAATCCTTGAAATATGTTTTAAATCTTGGGGAAGCCCTGCACAGACAGGCCCAAATAAAGGCCAGAATTTACAAAATTCATATTCATTTCATGCACCTCATTCCCTAAATACAGATTCCCCTTTCTTTTTCTCTCTTTCCACCTCTTCTCCCAAGGACCCTGTTATGGCCCCCCTCCGTCCAGTAATGAACGCAGACACAGGCTTAGCTGTTTGCCACTCTTTATTCACAGCAGTTATAATCCTGTTGGCTGAAAGCCCAGACATGACTCACTG